TATATATATATATATATATATATATATATATATATATATACAGTGATTATTTCAGAAATTTCCCCCCTCCCGGAGGGGGGTCACTTCAGATTTTTCGGTTAGGGGGGGGGGGGACAGTGCCAGTTGATTTATTATTGGACATATTTTTGCTCCGGGCGGCACTTGGCTTTCCCCGGGGGCAGTGCCCCACCCCTCCCGGAGATATAGCTGAAAGAAACCCTGTAGATATATATTATCATTATTTTGTTTTTGTTTTCCTATTATTTCATTACAACAAACTTCAGTCGAATATTTTTCCTTCAAACAAATTTCTTTCTTGCAAATTTCCAGTAATCCTCAGGGTTTACACTCGGGTTCATTGATAAGATTCTATGCAAGAAATTATGAAAACGCCTCCTCTACCTAAAACTCCTTCTATCCCTGATACTTTAAACTTAAACTTTCAGAACAGAAATCTTATTGTTGTTTTTTTAATTTATTTTTACTATATAGTATAGTGTGCTCAAAAAGAAATTTGACGAAAATTTTAAAGTGTGAACTGAAAAAAAAAAAAAAGATTTGACCGAACTTCCGTTCGATCCGATTTCCGTCGACGAAATTTCTTTCGATCAAATTTCCGCTAACCGTTCATATACCACGCCACCCAACCAATTAGGACTTTCAGATACCCATAAATGCCTGGCTGGGAAAACTTTTGATCCCCGTCCTGGATGGGGTGGTCTAGCGACCGTGTCACCTGGTTGTAAACCCTGCTTCTTGCCGTCCTGGGTGGGGTGGTCCAGCGACCGTGTCACCTGGTTGTAAACCCTGCTTCTTGCCGTCCTGGGTGGGGTGATCTAGCGAACGTGTCACTTGGTTGTAAACCCTGCTTCTTGCAATCCTGGGTGGGGTGATCTAGCGAACGTGTCACTTGGTTGTAAACCCTGCTTCTTGCAATCCTGGATTGGGTGATCTAGCGAACGTGTCACTTGGTTGTAAACCCTGCTTCTTGCAATCCTGGATTGGGTGATCTAGCGAACGTGTCACTTGGTTGTAAATCCTGCTTCTTGCAATCCTGGGTGGGGTGATCTAGCAAATGTGTCTCTTAGTTGTAAACCCTGATTCTTGAAAATAAAGCATATCGGTATTTTTTGAAAGGGACGTGATGAGCTTATAAATTATAAAGACTTCATAAATAATCCAAGACCTCTTACTTTTACTCTTCTACTTAAATTCTACTTTCAGATGTGTTTGATGCACAAGATCCTAAAATAATACAATCATTTCTAATGAAAACTTAAATATAACCAAGTAGAAGTAAATTGCCAACATATTATGTCCAAGGAATCAGACGACAGGATTCGAAAGTCAAAAGCGAAATTAGATCGTCTCCTACTTATAAAAAAAGCGATCATGGACTCATTGAGTTTGATCTCAAGAAATGACCGAGGTACCGCAGCACAGAAGCGTAATAATGCAACTGAAAATGGCCACAAACCAGTTCAGTCTCCGGAATTTATGCCTTGCGGTCGAAAATTAGACAGGGGATCTCAAAGTAAAAACCATGTGGACGTCATTCGAAGACCCGCTGGTAGGCAGGAGGGACGTCCCGTTTTGATGGATCCCAATTCTCAACTGCAAAGCTCATGTCAAACCTGGCCACGTGATGGTTATTTTGGTAAAGATTTCGCTGATTTTTGTCCACAATTTTGTGAGCCACACCAACGAGGTGAATTCTCGCACGTAGAGCCACCATTACGAGTTGGCATACGTACCCGTGTTACAGATACATTTCAAGTGGAGGGTCCGCAGGGATGCAATAAGCTTAATAACAAAGTAGAAAGTCCCACCGTGAAAGGATCTCTGATGTCCATCAAAAGCGAAGGAAGACCTCACCAAGCGGTGAAAAGTCAGGAAGTGCAAACAGACCCAGAAATTGCTCGCCAACGCGATGGTGACGTCGACCACGTAAATGCTGACATCATTCGTTACCTGAATCAAATCAATGACAAAGCGATTTTTCGGTCCTATGAACCAGAGCCTACGTACCATTCTGGGGGATTCTCGCCTCTGTACGACATGTACGAAGAAAGATTCTGCTTTCGGTACCAAGGACCTCAACACCATCCACCGGAAGACATTCAAATGTTCAGACCAAGGGAATACAACACTCACCCCATCCAACAGCTGCGACGCGAATGCTACGCCAAAAACAATTTCTCTTCCCAAAACGATGCGCATCATGTTAAGCACAGCTCCCCGGGATTTCAGTTCTCAAATGATTCCAAATACCTTGCGGCCCCTTACGCAGACGTGAGGGCTCTTTCAGACGATAGCGGTTCTGTGTTCAGCTCCGAAGCGGACTCAGATTTCATCTTTTATCCTTGCACATCTTTAACGGAGCCGTTCAACCGTTTGGCGCTGGTAGACTCCAGAGTCGGGGGCTTGTTCTCCCCTCCCGGTGAAATGCCGGACAACATCAGCACTTCTTTCAGCTGGCGGTCCGATTTGTTCGGCAGCAGTCTGGACGATGTTACCCAGCAGTTTTTCTTCGACGAAGACGCCCTCAGTGATGACGTGTTCTTGGACGATCCCATGGAGTACTCCACGGCCAGATCATTCAACAGAAATCCTGCTTCGCCTTGCGATCAAGCTTCTCGAAGTTTCGAAAATCCTTTATACGATTCGCCAAAGTTGATAAATGCACTGGTCCCCGGCCTGAGAGATGAACTCGGTCCAAGAAACAGCAGCAGTGAGGATTACTACGCGTACCGTTACGCTGATATCGACGAGGTTCTTCGGGGCTGCGACGACACGGGAAAGACCAGCAGCGTTTTCCCCGGAGGTCATGTAGCATGTGACAATGGGGTGCTTTGTGGGCACCCGATGGACAGTAGTGAATTGCCTAGCTATACCTGCCTCGGTACAGAAGAGCTGTTTGACAGGAACAGGTCTGAGTCGAGTGATTCAAGAAGCTCGTCCACCAAAGAGGAACTCCACTTTGAACTGGGTCAAGAGTTTGCGCATGTCTTTGACAGCCTGAGGCGAAACAGCACCCAGTCCAAGGCAAGGAGAATGTGGCGACAGCGCCGGGCTAACACCAAGAAAAAGTTGATCCAGGATTCAAATCATGAACCGGTCATCTCTTCGCCGACCACCCTGGTCTTCACATTTGAACACGTGACATCGGCCAGTCGTTGCAGCGACAGTCCAGGGAAGTCTCCACCCAAGCCCTTGAGAGGGATTTTGAAAAACAAAGGAAACATTTCTCCTACGAAGGGTGAAAGTGAGTCAAAACTTTGCGAAAACGTCACTTCTGGTAGATGGGTGGGAGCGACCAAACATTTGTTGAAAACCAACTTAAACCACACACCACTTGGGGAAAGTGTTAGGGTTGAGATGAATGAAAATCAGATCCCTGATGACAGAGCGATGGAACGTCGAAATGATATAATCAAGGGGGTTACAATCCTGTCAAACAATCCAGCTGCAACTAACCAGACAAGCAATCCAGCAAAAAGTAATCACTTTCATGAACATTTTCAAAATGAACGTCATAACGGCCGCTGCTCATCGCGAGATCAAGAAAATGTTTTGAATAAACGTCAACATTCAGGAAGTAGGAAAGGTGGTGCGCGCTTGCAAAGCCAAAATTCAAACCAAGTACAAAATGAAAACGATTCAAAACTCCTCATTACGGAAGAAACATCTCCACAACGGGAAGAGAAGTTTCACATTTTGCAGACGTCAACAGAGAATGGCTCCGACGAAATTGTTGCCGTAAGAAAGAACAGCTTGGAGGTGTACAAATGGACGCAGTCTCTACAGAGGCGAAAGAAACGTCTTGCCAAGAAGGTTACCAGACAAATATCGAATTGCTGTGCGCGTCTTTCACCCTTGGACAATGAGAAGCCTGTTACCACTTCAGCTACTATATAATATAATTGAATGGAGAAAAAAAAATTTAAGACAAGGGTGTATTATTTGTTTAAAGTCTAGGGTGACTCACCTGCAACGGTACAAAGGTTCTGAGTATGCAGACGAAATGAGACTTACCATAAGTTAAGGCGGATGATCACCTCACTCACATAAAATGCTACTACATCATGGGGGTTTTTTACGGGAGGGGGGGAGGGAGTTTGTTTCATACGAGCCCTGTGACCATTGGACAAATCCGAGGTACTCCATTTGATATTTGTTGCACCACAATTTTGAATGATATTCATTTATCCATACGGTCCCGATATATTTATCAGTGTTTTTTTTTAAAAACTAATAATTTATTTATCTTACTCAACAGTTTACTATGTATAACAATTACTGCGCAATCGAGACTTAATCTTAAGAGCAGTTGGCATAGTGCCACGCTTTATCTCGTGAGAATGTGGCTAGAAGAAACTAACTGAATTTTGGGGAAAATTATAGAAGAAGCAACCACGTTAATGAAGAGTGGATATAATTAGTAAACACGTAAATCAACTTCATGAACAGATATATTGCGCAGTAAATATTACAACTGAATCTTGCAAAATAAATTCTATATCTTAAGGGCCCACGATCACTATATTGATCATTCTGGCTCCTATAGAGGGGATTCACGATGTTTCTGTGCCTGGTATTGAAGAGGATATTTCACTGGTTTCAAGGGCTACTCAGGAATGAGCAGTTCCTGTACTGTTCTTGCTGTTATTTTATGAGCCTGAACTACCTGTCATGGCCATCGGCGGCCCGGAGGGGGGAAGAGGGGGGCGACTTTCTGTTTAATGTGGACCAGCCCATTTTTTTTATCTGGAACACCATGGAGGGCCTGGATAATCGTCGTCGTTCCTCCAATGGTGACCAGCTCAGCGTTTCCAGCATGCTGCCAACATTAGAGGTGTTCCTGTAGCGGTTCAGGACAAAGCATGCTTCCAGTCGCTGGACCGCCTCCAACCTGTTGATGCTCCTTTGTGTGAATGGTTCCCTAACTGAAGATGCGTAATCTACCACGTTTCCAAATATAATATACTGTATATGTAGATTTTAATGTTTTTAAAGATTTAAAACAAAACAAAAAAATAAAAGCACAGTGCTTCTCAACTTAAGGATCTGGCATTGTGCATAAGATACCGGGTACTCTGCTTTTGAAAGTGCATTACTACTTTAACACATTAATGGTATTAGGATTAGTCACATTGAAAATAAGGATGTAACAAACAGCAGGATAGTCCCATTGAAAATAAGGATGTAACACACAGCAGGATAGTCCCATTGAAAACAAGGATGTAACACAGCAGGATAGTCCCATTGAAAATAAGGATGTAAAACAGCAGGATAGTCCCATTGAAAATAAGGATGTAACACACATCTTTTAACACCAAGGACCTCTTTGAATACTTTTATTAACTCCATGATCAGTAGAGTAGCTATGAAGCCCAAAATAAAATGAGTGGTATAATGGTTCTAGATATTTCCCATACTTGACATATTTGCCCTTAGTTACTTGTGACATATTTCCCATTTGATGCTTGTGACATATTTGCCATTAGTTCCTTGTGACATTTGCCCTTTACTACTTACTTGTGACATATTTTTTTAAATTAATAATTTTAGACAGTTTTTTTGGGGAAAAAAATGATTTGGAGCAGTGATCCAATTAATTTACAAAATACTAATAATAAATACATAAATAAAGACATATAAATATATATATTCATCCAGAGCTCATGACATTATATTGATGTCTATGACATTACATGAACTTCCATAATACTGACATTACATGCATATTTGTTGAATTTAAAAAAATGAAATGTTCAATGCTGACTTGAAGGCACCAACAAGGAAGGCATGTTTTTATTAATTGTGAGAGCCAGGAGCGCCTCTGAGCGGCAGAATTAGTTTATGCTTTTAAGTATTTATATTTGTTATCTATTATTTTTAACCACTTGAAATGTAATAGAGCCATAAACTTATTACCCGTAAAGAAACTCATTAATGCCCTCAACTTATAGGAGGAGAGTGAAATATTGCACAACAATCTCTGATGACTTCCTGTAAAAGAACATTCTAAGCTGTTCCCTTTTACTTTTAGCAATGATGATGACGTAATATTTTTTTTACCACTGATTAACTTTCTTCCAATGATTGATTCAGGTCTCAATTATTCTAATTAAAAATGTAGATAATTTGTTAAAAATTAAATTACTTTCTATATCAGTACAATATGTTTTTTGTTACACCAAACATACACCTTTCTAATAGTTTTTGTGTGTGTTGTTAATAAAAAAAAAGATATGTGGTCTGTCCCTCTATCAACTACTCTCACCATAATAACTTTATGTTGTGCTCTAGCCCTGACTATATGTAAAAGAGCAATACATAATTAAATCAAATAACTAACCTGAAAATTATTATGTTAGTGAGGACAAACCGTTGGCTTGAAATATCAAAATATTATTTTACACTTTAGTGTGCACAACAAGATTAGCATTAAGATTACACTTGGAAACTTAAAAATTTTTAAAAAAAAAGTTATTCCTAAAAAAAAAACTAAAAAAATTAATAATTAATTAGTAAATAATCTCCCTTAAGTCACAAATCTTAATGAGAACTAACAAGTCCCTGGTATGACTGAGAGAATTCACTGAATGGCTGTTTTTTTTCACTAGCGAAATAATTTAATGTAGATGTTTCGTGTTCAAATTGTTTTATTCATCTGCTGAAAATGTACTATGCAATCAAAAAACATTGATCAATAAAAAAATCTTATCTTCTTATCTTATAAATCTTTTTTCACACAACAATAAAATATGGCACTCTTTCCCTTCATAGTTTTCATTATTTACCCACTGTGAGACAATACAGAGATTAAAAAAATGAATAGCTGATGAAATAGTTCTTTATAATTTTATTTTATATTCTTGATCAACACATCCCTCCATCACACATTTGTATAATCTGTGTGTTTGAAAATCATTTCATAGGGCCATTATAAAATCTATATATTATAATGTGCTCATGTAACATCTATATTGCAATCTTTCATGTAACATCTATAATGTATTCATAATATGCAAGACTTCAAAACAGTTTTAAATTTTTGTCATGAACAAATATTTAACCACAAATGAAATTTAATTGTGCAAAGTTATCTTTGAAGCTGAAATTATTTTTCAATGCAAATGTGTTTTTTTTCTTCTAAAAAATTTTTTTTTTAAAGAAATGAAAAATAACCAGAATCAAACTGAAAGGCTGAGAAACAAAATGTTTTATCAACAGGGTGTCAAGCCTCAGTGGTCTCCAAAGTGTCAACCCTCAGTGGTCTCCAAAGTGTCAAGTCTCAGTGGTCTCCAGTGTCAAGTCTCAGTGGTCTCCAAAGTGTCAAGCCTCAGTGGTCAAAGTGTTATTAATACTGTCAAACATAGGGTAGACGTAACAACGTTCAAAGATAACATTGATTTATTCTCAACAAACCTAAACATTTAAACCTAACATTTTTATCGCAACAAACCATCAAGATTCACATGTTAAAAACTAGTAACTCCCACCAGTCCTCACATCTAGGCAACTGTGACTAAAAGTCAACTAAATTAGCAGAATCAATGGGAATTACACAACAAATTAGTTATTTGTTTTCCTGTTGTTGGTAACATCCGCCAGATCAATGAAATATAATAGCCTGATAAATGAATGTAACAAATACACTTTCTAGGGTTAAATCACAAGTCAACTAACACAGTAATTGTTCTGCACCAAAGGATTATCGGAAAATTTAAAAAAAAAGATTATAATTTCAAAAGTAAAAGAAATTGAATAATTTCCCTTCATTAAAAATTTTATTTTGAGATACAAGACCATCTTGAAAAGTTAAAATTTAAAAATTGGGAAATGGTGTTGTCGTGTGAGATATGTAAGTTTTGAATTGTATTATTTCTTCTTGTAACATTTGTATTATATAAAGAGATAACTTTTAAAAATGCATCAGCGAGAATTACAAAGAATGTAACATTTTAAAAGAAAAATATTTGGCAGTGTGGGCAATAAGTGGTCTAAACTGGTAAAACTTTACTCAGCAAAAAAAAAATGTAACAGATCAATTTCAACTTATAAAACCTTGAACAGTCTCAATGCAAGTAAAATACTTGATGAGCCACAACTAAAAGGCAAGCTTTGCATTAGATTTGATCATAGCTTATGTTTGTTAAAATGTTCATACCATTGAGAACTGAACTATAAAGTCAAAAGCAATAATGATCAAATGTATGAGAAAGGAATTCCTAATAAATATTGAAACTAACTCAAAAGGGAAAAATAGAAAAAAGATAACTGACTCAACTTAGTTTAAAATAAGGAAAAGATTTATTTAATTTTTTAAATTTGTTTATAATACCCGTAACTAATAATTTAACAAATAAAGGGAAAGAATAATTTGATAGACTGATCACTATTATTAAAGTCTAAAGTATTTTACTCAGTAGTTATAAAATCATCTTCCCTAAAACTGTCATCACAGATGCTAAATATAAGGCAGAAATTAATAATAATATTCATTAATTTTTTTTCACAAATTTTAGACAAGTAATTTTTTTTTAATATTCAACTATATGAAAAAACATAGGGTAAACGATTTACCACACAGTATTTGAATACTTTTCTGAATATATAGTATTTCTTGTCAAATAGCTTTCGGGCAGCATGCAGTTAAAACAAAGCAGGTTACCAGAAATATTATTTTTAATAAGATGTCACTTAGCCACTTTGTCCCTTCAAAAAAATATCTGTATGATTAATTTTTGTGGCTTATTTATTCTGTTAAAGCCAGAAATCAGGAAAAACTGCCTGGAGTACATCAGATAAAATGAGGAAATTTCAACTAACTTCACAAAATCCTTTTTTTTTTAACCACAGCAATTCCTCAGTACAGCCATTTCAAAACCTAAAATTCTTTAATTTCAGTGAGTATGTAGGTTAACCCAGTAAAGCTACTCCCTCGCCAGATCATGCTACTTTAGCCAGAACTATAGCTGTCCTGCAAGGAATATAGACCTGGGGGAACAAGAGTAAAGTCATTTAAATACATTTTTTTGTACAGAAAGTGCAATGCTTTTGATTTTCAGTTCAACTAGAAATATAGACAGGCATGAATCTTAATCAACACACTGACAATTTAATGCCATTCAGCTTCAAGCATACCCAAAAATAAATGATTCAGGACAAATATTCCTATTTCGTTTAATGTTGGCCAAGTTAAAAATGGAATGGCTTAGGAACAATTGTTTTAATACATGTAATACATGAAAAGGTGTGACACAAGATGATTGTCAAAAGTATATTTTGCAAACATTTGGCTATGCTACTATACTGGGACACACACAAAAAATATGTCTGAGCACCTTTTGATGCAAATTACTTTCTCAGATATTGAAACAGTTGTTGAAGTGGAGATAGAGCTATTGATGGAAAGGATATTGGTAAAAGTGGTGTCTTCCGACTTCGCTGCACGCAAACAAAAAAAACGTGGATTATAGATTTCGGAATAAAATGATTTCAGAGTTTGGTTAAGTGACTTTATAATGAGACATTGAACAACAAGTGTCAATCACTCTCCCAAGCCCCATCCATCACAATAAGAAACACTGAAGCAGGAAAACTTTGGCTCAGTAATAATTTTACTTTAAAATTAACACTGGATCAAAATAATCATGGAATTAAAGGGGGAAAAAAAAATAATTCATTTGTAATATGATCAAATATTTAAAAATATGTATATAAACAAAATATATTTTACTTTGTTATCTTTCTTAGAAAATCACAGAAACTTAATTTCATAGGATATATATAATCGATTGAGACAGGGTGAAATTATGAAGCCAAAGGTGTGTGGCCAGAAAAAGTTTGAGACCAACTGATTTAACAATGTGTGTCTATGTCAGTGTCTGTACTTACAAATGTGTGGTTAGCACGGTCACACCAGGGTTCTGGGAAAGTATGGTACTTCACACTATGATCAATTCTTTTGTGGCCATCAAATTCAGCTGCATCAGAATCAAGAACTATTTCATAACTTGACCAGGTTAAGGAGAAATAGTGCAAAATATGAGGTGATATTATAACATTGAATTAGAGAACTTAATCCATGCTGGCATATTCCAATATTCAAATAAATGGACAAGGCTAGGATGAAACTATACTAGAGAGTGATGCTACTGTCAGGATATCAAAACTACCGAGTGATGTTACTGCCAATATATCTTATACTTCAGTGTGATGTTACTGCTAGTATATCCTATACCACAGAGTGATGTTACTGCCAGTATATCCTATACCACAGAGTGATGTTACTGCCAGTATATCCTATACTACAGTGTGATGTTACTGCCAGTATATCCTATGCTACAGAGTGATGCTATTGGCTGTTTTTCCTATGCTACAGGGTCATGCTACTGCAAGTGCACTCTATACTATAGAGCTGTGTTACTGGAAGTATTTTCTTATCTCTAAATATTATTGACAGGTTTTATATCAGGTTTTCATATTCCTTTGAAAGTTATATTGGGCAAAATGCTATGTCAATGCTGTCTGATGCAAAAATAAATAAATTACTGAATTTGAGTAAAAATAAACAGCTATTAAGTTTGGATACATTCCTGGCACCTGGACTCCAATCTTGTAGTCAGTGTAACTTTTGTTGGGGTGGAAGTTAAATATAAACACCAGAGTGTCTGCACGCTCAAAAACGATCACCATGTCATGTTGGTGCTTGAGACTTACATAATTCTGTGAAGAGAAAATTAATGACAACTAGAGCTTTAAACTTATGACAAAAAGTTGACTAGATTATAACTCATTTAAAATGATACAACATTTGTCAGTTCTCTTATTTAATTCCTAATAGTAATGTCAGTTCTATAGAGATAGAAAAGTATCCAGAAAAATAAATTAACTGATCCTACAAATGTTAAAAAGCAAAAAATCTTACCTGGTCATGCAGAAGCCAATTGTATTTGCTCTCTAAATGGATCATAGCTCTGTCAAAGTTGTTGAGGAACTGATATTTCAGAAGTTTATCATCAGCCAGGTTGAACTGACGACGGGCATAGTGAAAGCTCTCATTGTTGCCCAGCCGGGGAAAATCTAGCCACTCAGGATGACCAAACTCATTGCCTGTCAAAATATTAAACTAGTTTTTTTACATGTGCAACCTGAACATTGCAAGTCTTTCAAGATCGCATTTTTCACTTGTGAAATTTGATCTTGTCCCATAACACATTTTGTCATTAAAGAGCATTACCACCCCACATATGCACATTGTTAACTCCCCTGCTGGGGGACAATTTTTTTCTGTTTAAAAAAATTGAAACTGGATTAATCTATTCCTGGGTCCCACAAATTCTATGGATTCTATTTCTTTTCTTTAAACTCTCAAACCACCCTCTACTAGCTTTAAACTCCTCCTTTTGAACACTTTTATCTGTCAAGCCTTTCACTAAATCATTGTAGAGGACCTTGGCCTTCTAGCACCACATCCTCCCAGAAATCACACCACTAGTCACTGCTTTTCCCTAATCCTAACTAAGAGGAGTTTTTCCATGTCTTCCATACAAATTGTTTAAATTGGTATAACCCCTTTAGCCACATTAGCTGCGTTGAAAGCTTCTTTATATTTCAAAATCGTACGGTTGATTTAGGAATCCCAAACATAGTAGCAATATCAGTAAGACGTATACTGATTTCATGCTAATCGATAAGATCTTTCTTCACTTCAATTGTAGCTCTAACAGCTGTCCTCTTACCCTTATTTTCTTCACTACACTTATAAGGACCTATGATGTAATTAGTTATTATGTTAAAAAAAAAAAAAACAGTCACAAAAGGATAAAATTCTCAGCGAAAATCACATAAGATGCGTTTACTGCAGCTTCCAACAACAAAATGAAAAACAAAGAATATGGGCGGCCTGAGCTTTAGAGAAATGTATTCACAAAAAACACATGAAGAATGTTTTGGGGATTTGGATTCAAAAGCAGCGAAAACTTGTTATAAATCGAAAACTTGTTATAAATTTTTTTTCAACTTCTTAATTGTTCTCTCTCTAGAACTTTTGTATTCCAAGAACCTACTGTACATTATTTATTTTAAAACATATCTGAGAAAGCATTAAAAATTACTTTGAGAATAAAATATCTTACCTATAAAATTTAGGTACGCCTCACCACCAAGACCCATTGTTATAAGACGGATCATCTTATGCAGGGCAATGCCCCGCTCTATCACCATATTTCCCCCACTCAGTATAGACATATGGGTGTACATATCTTTGTCCATCAACCAAAAGGCAATAGTCTTGTCTCCCACAAGGGCTTGGTCATGGCTTTCAGCATATGCAATGCACTTCTCGCCGTACCGCCGATTGACCAGAGTGTGCACTAAAGTGGTTAGATCCCAATCTTCATCTCTAGAATGCTTTAGAGTCTGTATGATAAAAGTTTAATGTTAATATGAGCTATAACATAAGAAATAAGTTGCCGAAAACCAATTATGAATGTAACATTTGGAATATATATATGTAATTAGACAGTTAAGTTAAAAAATTTGAAAGTATTTTACTAAAACAATGCTAAAATTACTCTCTCAAATGGTTCAAATTTGTTTACCAGTGCAACTAAATTACTTTCTATTAATAACATAGAAGCTATTATGAGTAAAAGGTAAAAAAATTATCTTTACCTTTATCCAAACATCAGGTATAGCCATTGCTAATCTGTAGTCAAACCCACCACCACCTTCAATCAGAGGTCGACATAACAATGGCATGCCCGATACTTCCTGCAGAAATAAAAACATTTATCCACTCTTTTTATAAATGTAATTATAAAATGTAAGCTTAAAAGATATTTAAATATAAAAATTTAAAAATCATGATTAAAAATCAAATCTTTTGGGCAAACTTTTTTTTTTTGTTTTTGTTTTTTTGTTGACAGTCTAGATTTTATAGCAAATATTTCTTGCTGTTAGTTTTACACAGCTGTGTTCCTCAAGGAAAGTTCTTCCAGGGCTAAAAAATTAGCATTGATAGCTTTTGACCAAAGGGAAACAATATAATATATATATATATATATATATATATATATATATATATATATAAAGCTTAATGTGGGTTGTTTGTTTGAATCGATACATTGATTTTGGTATAAATAAAGATAAATATGGGCTTTTTTTTTAAAAATAAAAATTGAAGAATTCCATTGTTTGGGGGCACAGAAAGAAAGATCGTTCACCATATGTTTTAGTGTGTGTCTTGGGAATGGACAGAATACATGTGTCTGCGGAGGCGCGAAGCTGTCGAAGGGGTTAATAGACAGAAAGAAGTTCGGTTAGATAAAAAGGGCAGGAATCCGAAAAAAAGTTGTAACAGAGAACAGACAACTTATAGTCAATGTGTGCCTGTATAGGGAGCCAATGAAAGGAGTGGAGTAGTGGAGTGACGTGATCACGTTTTTTTGCCTTTAGAACTAGCCTAGCAGCTGAGTTTTGGACTTTTTGCAGTTTTTCTATACAGTGTTTTGGTGAACCTGACAGTAGAGATTTACAATTTTAAAAGTTTCCGTGACTATTTATTTAATTGCTTTTTCATAGAGCCCATTTATTTACTTAAAGCTTCGGCACCAAATGGTAAAGATACGTTACATATTATAAGAAGAAAATGAAAAGGACCAACATTTACTGGATAAATTACACTCCATCTTTTGGACTTGGCCAAAACAAGGACTACTTAATTTACAAACTTTAAAGCTTATCATGAATAAATGATTTTGAAAGGTGAAAAATAAATGGCAACTTGTGAAGTCGACTCTCCAACTGGGCCGCTCAAACAATTTTCAACTTTTAAAGCTTGAATATTTATTTAAAGGATTTTGATAGGTCCCATAATAAGTGATAAATCAAATTATGTCTTAAAATGGAATTACAACGTTAAACACTGGAGCTCCTCAAACAATGTAAACATTTTCAATATTACCTTGAATAAATATCTACAGGATTAAAATATGGCGCTCTTTTAAAAGCTAAAGAATAATGTGTGTTGGACAGCGTTCAAGCCATCTGAAGGAAAATGGTAGAACAAGATAGCTTAGGAATAGGCTTTATCACTTTCTTTTGAGGCTGGGGCAAAACTATTATTATTACTATTCAAAAAGGCAATACCTACCGAATTTGGTAAACTATTTTAATGATACAACTTGTAAAGGTTAACTTCTAATTTTAGTAATAACAGTTACACTTTATGGACCAGTTCATTCAAGGATTTATATTTATTAAAAGTTACCTTGAAAATGTATCAAAAGTTTTTTTAATAGGACTCCCCTCCAGTAATACATTATGACACTTTATGGACCAGGCTGTGATGTTACACGTGGGTCAACTTAATCCCAGGCAAAGACTGTTTTATCAGCTAGTTATTAAACATATCAGCTAGTTACTAAATACATCTTATTGAAAATGATTAAAATTAATTTTCTGTTGCTGTAGTAATTGAGTTCGTGGTTTCAAATGATGAAAATAAATGAAGAAATACTCATGAAAATGTATTGCATAAAATGCCCAGCCCATTGAATCTGTAGCCCAAATTTAAGCATTTGAGATCATCAGAATACACATTAATGAAGGGTTCAAAGATTAGAACCTAACTGTAAAGAAACTATTACCATGTTAAAATAAGAAAAAATGGTGAAATTGAATTCTTACCTCAGCAACAGTGATCATAAACTCAGGATATAAAGTGTGTAACATGTAGTTGGACAGCATTAAGTAAACCAGAGAATCTGTGTCTGTGTTTAGGCCAAAATATTCATCATAATGTCCGCTGAATCCGTGGCCTACACAAGAAAATTTCATGGGATATTGTCATAATTAATAAATATTAAGATAAAATAATGAGACCCTTAGCAACAAATTATGAGATGGCTCTGAGTTGCTTTCTCTCAACTCTATTGAAGAGATCAATAATCATACTTTAAAATATCATTATACCTGGGCTGTGTCAATATTAATAGCTCATTAAGTTAAGAAATAGTTGACATGCCATGAACTTAGTCTGTACTGCTGTTCATTGCCCCAACGTTAAACTTTAATTATCTTTATAAAGCTCATTGATATATATATATATATATGAGATTTAAAATCAGTTAATCCCCCCCCCCCCCCCCAACAAAAAAAAAAACACAACACACACACCCCAAATTTGTTACTTTAAAAAAACAATTATTCTTTTTTACAATTATCAGCAAAGTCATATAGCTTACCCATTCCATGGGAGTGATATAGCATAGATGTGACACCATCAAATCGGAAACCATCAAAACGATACTCTTCAATCCACCATCTCAGATTGGAGAGAAGGAACCGTAACACCTCCCACCTTAATCAGACAGATACAGATCACATTAATCAATGAGATTAATTGGAGCTGGAGCCTAGAATGAAAAGTGATTTTCTAACAACTTGTGATGACCTAAATTAGCTAATTTATTATACAAATTATTTAGATCTAATACTCTACATCAGGGGTCCTCAACCTGTTAGCCTGATCCAGCCTGCCAGTGGTCTTAAATGTGACCCACCAGGACGCCGCCCGGGTATATGAGCAGCAGTGACAAATATGTAAGAAATATGGAACCGGACATCTATTTAGCTAAATGCAGGCCCATATTTCCCTTTGAAATCTTATAAATTTAATTTGAATATATTTTTTCTTCATATTAAATATTGTATTTTGTCCACCACAAAACTCTGAGAGGAAGTGTACTGACCCCACTGATTACAAAGTACCCCTGCTCTACATTATTATCTCAATGGGTTTATTATTTTTGCATTACACCAATATTCAACCAATATTCAACATACACAATTAGAGCTTCTGTATTAAGCATTCTCACTCTGTGTAATTAAAAAGTCTTGAGTCCCACAAGTCATGGGTGCCCCTTCCACCATCATGAAAGTAGCATGAATTGGTACCATCAAACTGATTGAGACCATCAACAGTATTCTTGGAGGCATGGCTGTGCACAACATCCAACAGAACAACAATGCCATACTCATGAGCCGTGTCTATCATTTCTTTAAGCTCATCAGGAGTTCCATAGCGACTTGAGGCAGCAAAGAAGCTGGTCACTTGATATCCGAAGCTGGCATAGTAGGCATGTTCCATAATAGCCATCAGTTGGATAGCATTGTAACCTGGAGGTAATCAATGTAGGTCCAATATTATGTAAATCTTAAGATGATGTCTTTTAGAGCATCATATTTCACAAGATTTTAAATACCACATACAAAGTCTATATGAGGGGACATTTTTTGTAACCTTAAATTATTGTAGCAGTGTGCCATCAGCATTAAATTTTACAACAAATCTTTCATTAACTTGTACAGGAGATCCTATGTGAACTTGAACAACATATCCTGCATGAACTTGTATAACAAGTATAATATATATACAAGTACAAACATTTATATATATGTGGCTGAGAGGTGAGTGGCTGACAGTTTTAAATGTTTATTTTATAAACTTAAGAAAATCCTGAGAACTATAGGTTTAATGGTCCTAAAAGTGTGGTACAAGCAGACCAAAAAAAAAAAGGTCAAAGTAAGAGGCTTGAGAAAAAGGTCAATATCTGAAAAGATACATTTAAGCTTAAAGTATAATTTTGTCTTTTTTAAGTGTTTACCTTGAGATGGATATCATAAAATAACTTAATATGTAATAAAGGAATCATAAATATTTCTAATATTCTGTTAATGGGTATCCAATCAAAGAAATAAAAGTTCTTATATTTACAGTGTTGTCACAAAGCAATGAAAATCATTGATGTATATACTGAAATGAGTCATTGCTGTTCATCACATAAACTCATCCTGCATAGCAAGTAGTTTTATACTGCCCACTATGCTAAAACTGGAGTACTTGCTATAAAGGCTAATAAAACAGATAATTGGTTTGCCAAATAATAACCTGCTATGTTTATAATAAATTCAGCCCTTGGAGAAAACTACTGCTCAAGGCAAAGGAACACTACTTCTATCTGCAGGTTCTTTGGATCTCTGCAAGGTCAGGCTTCTATACTGTCCTGCAACAGGTCCTTTGAGCCTTGCCTTAATGACCTTCATGTTAATTGCTTTGTCACAGTTTCCATCTGTTTTGACCCTGCTCCCTTGATACTCATAACCTGTCCCATCTTCCACTTGACAGCTGTCATAGTGATTACAATGCAATGGAAATATCAAGTGAAAAGATTTCTAAAATGTTACATTATTTTATTACCTAAATCTGAGATTCGTGGAATAACATTTTGTGTGAACTGTTTATAGGACGCAACTTTTCCTTCCCATGATGCAATGCCTACATGACTCTCATAAATCTTCAATGCACCTTTGGTGCGTGGGTGAACATGCTTGAAGCTGTATTGCTGGTATCAGTGAGAAACAAAGATATTAAATATATAAAGGATGCATCAATGTTTTTGTGTCAGGTTCTATTCTATGACAAAAAAAATAAAATTCCTCTAAAGTGTAACAGAGTGCACATTTGTGTTCAATTGCTAAATGGGATTTTTAAAATAGTGACTTTTATTTATTAAGTTTGAATCTAATAAAATAAATGAACTTTTATGCAAATGTAAGCAATCTTTAAAATTTAATTATTATTATTATAAATCAGAAATAAATTTAATATAATAATTATTTTAAGTTGTTATCTGAATGTAAGAGTTACAATATTGCATAAAAGGAGATTGATTACTATCATCTGTGTTATATTAATATGAATGTAAATTTAATTTTTAAAAGCAAAATCTTGTAGTATGTATTTTATCATACTGTTTTTGCATTTCAATGTTAAGGGGTATTTTGCAAAAAGGGAAGGGGGGGGGGGCGCTGTACTTGAGTGAATTTGTTTCCATCAAAAGCACTACTATCTCAAAAGCCAAAATGATTACAGACTTAACTATTGGTAATGAATTATGTATTTTAACATTTTCTGTTTTTACATTTCAAGTGAGAGGAGTTGGCGTGGGGAGGGGGGGTTTGGTTTGGGTTGTTGTTAATTGTTACTTTTACCTAGGCTGTACAATTAGCTATTTTTTTATATTTTGCTCCAAGCAGCTCAAGATTCGCAGAGGGAGTGGGTGCATTTTATACATTATTCAACCCTCTTTGGTTAACACTATTCAAGGGGAGGAATAAGGTGGTTATATTTTTTATGTGGATGACCATATCTTTAGGCCGATGATAAAAGAGTTAAAATATCAATAACTCCAATTCAGATAATGTTACAGATTTGATCTTTGGTATAGATTAAAAATAAAAATATAAATTACCATGTTCTTTAAATAACTTGAACATTGGTTCTGAGATTCTTCATTAGATATAAATATGCTGTGTTTTATGATTTTCGGGTAATATAGTTCAGGAGTGAGGCAAAAGGTTAGGTACATTTTAAATGAAGATACCAATATATCAAATACATTAATCTAACAGATATTTATAATGGTATCATGGGCGCCTGCAGAAAACTTTCTAGAGGGGGGGGCAAAAAAAATCNGCAAATTTTTTTTATAGTAATGTTTTAATATAGTTTTAATTTACTGTAGCTTATTTGTATGGTGAACGAACGGACAGGACATCAGCTTAGTTACTTTCTCTTTATTTTCTCTTTACTTTAATAATTATTTTGTCTATTTTTGTCTAAAATTTTTTTATCCAATCAATCCAGGGAGGGGCAAGTGAATGGTATATACATTTTTTATTTTTAAGGACATATATGGTGTTACAATTTTTCAATAACATGTTTTCTTTGTAGTTCATGAGTGTGAAAAGGGGTAGGGAAGGGCTCTATAATATAGAAGATGACCATTTCTTAAAACCCAATGATATTAGAAATGTAATATCTATACATAGGGACTTCTTGAAAAATAAATGAAGATTTACAATTTCCTAAATGTACATTTCAAGTGGGTGTAAATAACATAATTTTGATAAAAACAATGCATCAAAACCTGATTCAGTTACATTTGTAAAAAAATGAATTTTTAGATGTTAAGACTTTGCAGTAGCAGATTTAAAGTAGTGCACTGTGCCTTCCATTATTACCTGATTAACACTGGGTCATATATTCTAATATGTAATAATATAGTAAGAAAAAGATTCCTAAAAAAACGTTTCATTTTTAATTTTACCTATATTTAAATAGACTTTTTTGTGTGTCCATCCATCCCTGTGGCGCGACAGCCCATGCAGGACTTTGGCTTGTCTCACCACTTTCTTCAACTCAGATCTAATTGATGCTTTTCTTTTCCATGCTTGGATTCCCAGCAGCTGTAGATCTGTTACCCCATCATCCATCCATCTATGCCTAGGTCTGCCTTTGAGCCATTTTCCTCTGGGGTTTTGGTGGTGCACCCTCTTGACTCCTTTGTCATTCTTTAAGTTTCCCGCCCAGAGTAGCCTGTCCATTTTTATGTCTGCTACTATACAATTCCTGGTTATCCATCTGTATTCATCCCTTGTTTGTCAGTGTATTTTCCGGAAAACTTTTCCATGTGTTTAATAGGTTTTCTGCCATTTTTTTTAGGGTCCATTTTTTACTTGCTTATGTTACAACTGGTCTGGTTACAGTTGTTACATAGTTTTCTTTGTTTTTCTTTTTAATTTGTAACTACTGAAGTATGTCCTGTTTCCGGTCAATATTCTTTATTTTGTGACTACTGAAGTATGCCCTGTTTCCGGTCAATATTCTTTCTGTTATTTCTGTTAGTAGTTCCTTTCTTTCAATTTTAAGGATCCTAGGTATTTGAATTTTAAAAACTTTTTCAAGAGTGTGGTTTCTAATTTTTTCATCTGCCTGTTCTTCTCTCACCATAGTCATGTAGTTTTTTTTTAAAAATTCTTGTTAACTTCCAGCCCTGCTTTGTAGTGATGTTGCTTCTAATTCAATAAAATCTTTTGATATGTCATTTTTTGTCTTTACTAATTTTCACTAACAGTGCTATGTCATCAGCATATGCAAGGGGTTGGTTGTAGAGGGTGCCTATTGGTTGTAGGTCTTGGGTTTCCCTGAGAAAGTATCCTGTTATTTTTCCTGCATACAAGACAGTGAGTCTCCTTGTATTAGGCCTCGTTTAATCTGAAATTCCCTTGAATATTCTCCACGCACCTTGATTTTGCTTTTTGAGGTGTTTAATGTTATTTGAATCAGTGTAGAAAGAGGAATTATTGATCTTATATAGGTCATTCTTCAGTTTTGGTGTCCACATCCCTGTTAGTGACATACACTTAAAAATATATCTTTATAAGACATATGAATTATCGCTTAAGATTTGCAAAATGTAATTTTCCTTTTAATGCCATACCTCTTCTGGTGGAGGGTCCCAAAATATCTGCTCAAAGATCGGCACTGTTGCTGGCCGACCAACCATTTTGGCCCATGGACAAATTCGATCCACAATGTTGCCATTGTGAAGCTTCATGCCAAGCTAGAAGAGTTTATATCTTGAATAATAGTTGACAAAGTCCAGTAAGTAAAAAGGTAACACAAAAAAGATATAGAGCATAAAGAAAGCTTTCAACAAAGACTAGCAATACAGATTCTTTCGTTTAAAGGATTTTAATACTGATCATAATAATAATAAGCACATTACAAATTACAAGAGATTCTATCATACACCAAAAACACTTGAAATATTACAAGCAACTCAATCACTATATTATAATATTTGGGGTGGGGGGAAGAGAATGCAATCAGATTAGGTGGAAAGAAATAAGTGAAAGAAGGCTGGCCAGTCCATAAGTTATATTTAAAAAAAACTAACTTAACTGCAAGGACAATCTTTCAATGTCCAAAAGTTTTAAGCAGTATTCTAAAATGGATAAATCTCACGATTGTTATTTTTTATACACTAATAGCATTCTCCTATCTCATCCAAGCTCTAAATTTTTATGGATGGTCAAATTTCTTAAATGACATTTCTTCAATTAAGATTGAAAGGCCATGGAGCAACAAAAATACCTTAAGTTTAGATTGATGTTTAATGGGACAAGTTCCATCATCATTGGCAGGGATGGTGAGATGCCATCTGCCAAAATCACCCTTCTTGAATGCATATTTCTCCTCAAACTGCCAGTTATCTTAAAAAAAAGTAAGAATGTAAGGTTAGGTGGAAAGAAATAAGTGAAACAAGGCCGGCCAGACCATAAGTTATATTTATTTTAAACTTATCTTAATTATATCATAACTGATAATAATTCTTGTATTGAAAGTGACACTTTATATCCACACAGCAAGCAGCAGCGACCAATTTGAACATTTTTATACACATGTCACCAAATGCCATCCATATAACATAGCAACAAAGAAGGGGGGGGGGGGGGGGTGTTTTCGTCAATGCAAATAGATTTTTTTTTTAATTTACTCTTTATGCAATGGATATTAAGTGGTAATGATTTACTCACCAAAAAAACAAAATATGAATGAAAAAAATGAATTATTTATTGAAGGAATCCATAGAATATATGAAATATATGAACAAGGTATGTTAAACTTGACTTAATAGACAAGACAATAAGATTTGGACGTTTGGGCTTACAGGAAGGTTCTAAGCCGAAACGTCCAAATCTTAATGTCTTGTCTGTTAATTCAAATTTAACATACCTTGTACTTATATTTCATTTATACAACTTGAATGCAATCCATCAATTATCAACCATAGAATATATTATGAATCATTGCTAAAATTTTGTTGATACTTGACAACTAGGAAGAAACTTACTGAAATCTCCTCGTAAGTAGATACCAGCTGCTCCGGGAGCCCATTCAACAGCCTGGATTGAGTTATCTGGCTGATGATGGATCCCAAAAAACTGATAGCCACGAGTGAACTTCTCAAGACTCCCTTCATTTCTTTCAATTTTTGCAAGCAAATCATAGAAGCAATTATATCTGAAGAATTCAAAGCCCAATAGATAATAGAGTAGTTATTTGCAGAATAGATTGTTGCAGAAAGAAAATATTTTCCAATTTATATTTTAAATTAAAAGATCAAGACCTATTTACATTATGATCAAATACAAATGATCAAATGAGAAAATAAAAAGAAGCATAATACTAATTTTAACAGTAAAAAAAATAAAAATTAATTTAAGAGACAAAAGTTTAGGTTAACTATCCAATGTGCAAAGACATTTTAAGTCAGCTTGACAAATAACATTTTAATGAGTAAAATTTAACCATTATTCATTCACAGTGACTCTTAGACTACTAATCTAATCAGCAAACTATCGAGCCGAAGCTCATGAAGTCTTCCCCAACGCACTACCCAATACTTCCAATCAACCTTCAACCACTCCCCCCGTGGTCATTATTCCAGTGAGGCCGCAAAGCGGCACTACGGAGGCATTCCCCCCATGAGACAGCCACACCCACCCTTTCACTCCATTGACTATGCAAGTGAGGCGGCATCAGAGAAGGAACACCTGGCTGGCCGGGGTGCTGTTCTCACAGCAACCAAGCCGGAATTTCTAGGGATGGGGTGGACATATTTTACGTCTCTATGCCACCCCCCCTCCTCCCCACCCCAGGGAGACGACAGTTATTACAAAGATGCCCTCTTAAAAGGGTTTACATGGTTTTCTGCTATGTGAATAACTCACACCACAGCTGGGAAAGAAGAGGTTGCATAGGAGCGGTACCCTCAAAGGCTGCATATTGAGAATCATCAACGGGGGTCGCCACGTTCCCTCGCCTCATATCCATAAGGCAACAATAATCATGTCCTGACCTGTCTCTATGTAATTTTCAACTGCACTTGGTAGGAACCATGCAGCAATGCTCTTTCTAACGCATTTTCCATGTGTTACCTTTGCCTTTAAACGCAGGCCCCCTACACTGTGATACTGTTCCCCGGGTAACGTTTCAGGGGGTTTGTGACAAACGCCTATTTAATGACATGCTATTTATGGGTTGGGCATGCCGACTAGTGCAACGGGGGGGTTTACTCTTAGACTACTAACATCTGTAATAGATACTGGTATATCATTCTATTTTTTCAATAAGCGTAAAAATTAGTTTCCCAGCACAAGCAGGCAGGAGAGCACTGCATAATATGATTGAAAGTACTTTATGTCAGCAAATGAGATAAAAATAATAATTTTAAAATAAAATAAACAACATGGAAAATTTTGCAGGGCTAAGTGATGCTAAACCTCTGACAGCGTGAGCATAAATCCCGTTGTTGAGCTGAGCGACATTTTGAAATCCTCTCCAAGCGTCTGTGACGATAGCTGTCCCTGGCAACACATGATTAGTGATAATGCGCTCGAGTGTTTGTGCATCTCAACGGCCGACAGCCTCCATCTAACAACGTCCACTAACGCAAATATGAATTTCAAAACAGAATGATGCCCAAGACTTTTAAGTAAGGAGTAATCATTGGAAATAATTTGGGACCGGACTTCGGAGGATTGCCTAAAATTAAAATGGCACCCTAAAAACTTTTAATGATTTTATTGTTGTTGGAACTAAACTAAACTAAAACATCATTACATTAGACACTAATACTAATACTTATTTTAAAATAAGAAATAGTGATAAGTTTTGGCATTAGCAGGTAGAAACTATCGCAAAGTGCCTGCCATTTTTATCTCGAAAGCATCGGGTGATATATTCTAGTAGTAGTAGTAAGTTAAGAACTTAATAGTGTAGTAGTATAGTCTCAACTTAAACTTCAGTACAGAATACTAGTATTACTAGTACTACCACCGAACTCTTACTCACTTTTACAGACGTCACCGAAATCAGCGTATTCGCGTTTTTGTATCTAGTTTTTAAATAGAGTAAGGACTTACCTCCGCCTTATTTCCCCTTCATAAGTACGAAGATAGCCATCTAACTGAAAAGTTTTATTCAAATCTGGCTGTGGGGGAACTGTGCATTCTCCTTGCGCCATGTTTAGGTGTCCAGAGTCGTTTTCGTTACTGTCGCTGTCCATGATCCTTGACCTCGTTTACGTGACCAAGGTCAGGTCGAGGCCGTTTTGAAGCATTGACTTTTTAGCTTAACATCTGCACAACAGTTCGTAATTTTAAACTATTTAAAGTGCAGGGTGAAGAAACTGGTAATCTGGTAGAACATTCTCGCCTCTTTCAATTTACTCTTGCTTTGGGAGAATGGGATGCCTACTATGCTAAAAAAAAATTACGTGTTTTAACTTTAACTCATAAAATTAATAAAAATAAATTAAAGACGATCTTTTCTTAGTGGTAACGTATATCACACCCACAGTGATTTAAAAGGATCTCTGCAATTCGCAAAATTACAGTAATTATTACAATAATTGATAGCTCAGTTTAAATTTAAAGGAATTCAACTAGCTGGAGCTAAATGGTTCCATATTCCTTTAAAAACTTCATACATATATTTTCTCTTGCCAACCTACTAGGAAATTTTGATTTCGCACGTATAATAGTAATAGTGTATAATAATACTTTAAATACTACCAGGTATTTAAAAATATTTTTTACAAGTAAGATCCAATGTTAAAAGTAAATTTTTTAAAGTACTGATGGTTAGTTCCATAATATATCAAGTAGGTAATACAAAATTACATCAGGGCTGGTTGCATTCTAACTTATCACAAGCCCCAATGCCCCAAATTTGCTCACAAGCATGACCTGATTTCTGTGCATACTTATCAGCTTCCCAAAAAATAATTTCCACTCAACTTCAAATGAAAAGAAATGCAACTCCAACAAGAATTAAGTGGGTGAAAGCTGTAACCAATCAAGATAGTAGGTTGGGGAGGAGAAAAAGTAAGTGCTATAAAAATGTCAGACCCTCATGTGTTAATTCCATTCACACTAAAAATAAGAGAACCAAGACTTGCAGTTGTATATTACAAGTATATTGAGTCATCTGATGATATGATCCTATGATATGACAGACATAGTGTATAAAGGATGGAGGACATAAAAGAACAAGCAAATGATTAAATATTTACAGGCATCATTATAATATAAAACACATTTCATACAACATATATGTCTCTGTACAGGTTAAACAAAAAATACTGTTATAATTCATCACGTGTATGACAAACAAATTGCTTTAATGACTTAACAGGTGTCTAAGACTAACAGTCACAGTAAATACTTTCAAATGACTTGTCATACAATACAGAGTGTTTAAATGTGTAAAGATCAATCTACACCCCCCCCCCCTTTCCTGCTATGTAGCACTGATCAATACTAAAAAAAACAAATGGACACCTAAGTCTTTTGAAAATTCATTTAAAATTACCCAGACAGCAATTTTGTGAAAACAAAAATCTACAAGTTTACATATTAAATAACTTTAATGACTTAACAGGTGTCTAAAACTAACAGTCACAGTAAATACTTTCAAATGACTTGTCATACAATACAGAGTGTTTAAATGTGTAAAGATCAATCTACACCCCCCCCCCTTTCCTGCTATGTAGCACTGATCAATACTAAAAAAAACAAATGGACACCTAAGTCTTTTGAAAATTCATTTGACATTACCCAGACAGCAATTTTGTGAAAGCAGAAATCTACAAGTTTACATATTAAATGACTTTATATAAGATTTGCTGCCTCAAAAGTAAGCTTCACTTTCAATTAGGCATATTTTATGTCAGAGATTTATTTGACTGTCTTATTTTTAAACTGCTTGAAAATTAACTGAAATAAATTTTAAGAAAATAATATTAAAATTAACCACAAGTAAGGGATGTTTCATCAATGGGAAAAGTAAGTGTTCTGGATTTTCTTATTTTGTATATATACATTTATTATGTTGATCAAACTAAAAAGGTACAAAAATATTGGACTGGTTAATTAGGTCATACTGGCTCTCACAGGATGACACATAACCAACATTTTCTTTATTAAAGCAAAGTGAACATAACTTGCATATTTGTAAAACAGAACTTAATATTGTCCCTTTCTAGCAAACACAAAAGGAGATAAATCTCAAAATGTCTTTTGAAATCAGAAAGAGTGAAAACAAAATTCTAGTTGTACTTGTACAGCATATAGAAAGTTTTGGGGAATGTAAAAAATGAACTTCAATTTCGGAATATTAATGGTAGATCTCCTTTTCACTTGCAAAGGATAATATAACAGTTATCAAACATAGTGACAAATGCATGTCATTTTTTTTATTAATACATTTAACAACAAATTAATTATGTATCCTTGTGATAAACATATAATGGTGATTCCATAAAATGGAGTTTTTTCCAAAAAGAAGAGCATTTCAATTTATTTCTTAAAACTAACACCAAGTCATTAATTTTATTGATTATTTTAAATGCAAATTTAGTAATTTGGAGTAATAGTTTAATGACAAATACCTAACATAAAAATTATTGTAACATCCTCATCCACAATGAAACCAATTAGAAATGCTATTTCTGAGTTATGCCAGCAGCTTACACTAAAAAAAAACTGTTCAGTCTGCATGACCTAAGAAATTAATTCAATTGATGCTTTTCAATAGAATTCTTAAATAATTATGCTCATTGAAAGTATAATCAATATAACTTATTTACCTTTATTTAAAATATCACTATTTACTAAGTAAAAAAAATAAAATAAACTTTTTCATTGGCAAGGATCAAGTTCACAATCATACATTTTACAAGCCTATTATCAACTAACACCATCTTTTGACCATTTGAAAATCGAAAATAAGCACAAGTTGTTTACAGATCAATGTCTCAGTAGTTTTAAGATTTAGGCTTGAGCAACTGAACAATCAGTTTAGCCAATTGTAAAATTTTATTTTTTAAATATTTTTGCTAACCTTTCAAACATTGATAAATGATCATGCTTAGATAGAACCTTTAAATAATTGTGTCCATTAAAAATGATTAATCTGTAAAGAAAGATGGGCCCATTTTCCTACACACTAAACAAAACAATGATAGACTGAACTGTGGCTGAACAATATAGACTAAAAAGTTATCCCAATTGTAAGCTCTAATAAATACTAGTCAGTAGTGTGTTGCAGGCAAATAATTATAAACAATGAAGAATAGTGATCAGTTAAAATTAAGATACAAACATATCTGTGGTAAAAATAGTTTTAATATATTTTTAAAAGTTAAGTGCAAACCCAAACTGAGTAACTTAATTTAGGGAATTTACCAAGACAGATCTTTGAAACATGTAGATTTTTGTGTGCATCACTTTACCCTGCTAAATTTGGTTTCAGGCACTTTGGTGCAGTTCATTTTATAATCCATGCTCAAAACTTAACAAATTTCTCTTCTAATTGAAAATAAAAAAGAATTCAAATATTTTCTAAGCCTTAAAGCACTCTAAAATTTTTGTCAAGTCTATGGAATTTAAAGAGATCCATTTAAAGCTTGACCAGGATTGGTAGTTATATAGTGTGATAAGCTGTCACCAAAAAAACCTGAGCGTTAATTACAAAATAGCACCATATAGCATTTAGTGCATGTCTTGTGATTGACTGAGGGATACACAAATTCAAACATAGAAAAAGTTAACAACATAAATAAATAAAATGTTAGACATTTTGGCCACTAACAAGTATGTTTTTGAAGTCTTTATGAAAATACCACATTTATTTCATGCTTGAGTCAATAACAAAACTTAAGTAAAATAAGCTTAACTATAATGCTCTAGTCAAATAGTTCTTAAACAATAGTTTTGAATCTATTTGAATGATCCTTACATACTTTTTGAGTAGATGGCCCACTAAAATTTTTTTTCTTTAAATGAGAACAGTATTTTAAAATATTTTGAACTTTCAAAATGTTTTGTCTAGTCTACATTAGTAAAGGATGTGCCAAAAGTATGACTTCAAGTCTTATTATAGATTTACATAATATTTTTAGATTATCCAACAAATAGTTACAAATATGAGTCTTTAAATCGAAGCTATAAAGAAATAAAATATACATCTTTTCCAACATATTTATTTGAAACGGCAGTAACTGTTTCCATTTTCTAAATATGAATCGAGACATTTGAGAGTTTATTATTTCGCAACTAAACATTAAGTAATTAAATGACAAGTTTCTAGCATCCATGTATTATGGTATTATTTAAAGGTAGTTGAAGATAATTCTTGAGAATGCTCTTATTAAGTTTACAGTGTATTTGCCTAGAAAAGTGAGGGATATCTGTCTGAATTAACTAAATCTCCCTCATATTATTGCTTTATTATTGACTCCATTGTAAGTGAAACTTCAACTCTTCTAAAGCTTACTGTGCATTATAATGCTGTCACCAATTTAAAAATGTTAAATTTATTTTTTAGCCAAAGAAAGAAAAAAAATTGCTAAGGGATTAAAAGTCAACAAGGAAAAAATACTTTAATTTAGCATTTATTACAATTAATGAACTGGCGTATGGCCTTCAAGTTTGATCTACTTTTCAACATTCCTTTTATTTAAGAGAATAAAAATGGATGCCAACTTATAATACTTCATCAGGGACCATATTAACTTAAAGGTACCATTAACAATTGAACATTTTTGAGAGTCTGTTACACCACCGACATCAATTTTTGAACATTTATATGCTTTATGATTTGCTGCCTTTAGGATAAGTATTTAACATAAAATATAACACCAACAACAAAAAAAGTGTTCCTTATGCAAGTACATACAAAAGCACCTCCAATAATCTTAAAGATGAGGAAACATACACAGAGTATTACATACATAACCAACTCTTAAATTTGACTAAATTTACTCAGGTATTAAAGTTTTTTTAGCTACATTCGTGGAATTGATTATCAGATATCTATCAATCTATATCCTTTTTTGAGTTGCAAAAAAGTAACAATAAATTGATGAGATATTTAGAAAAGAGACAAGTATAATGGATATATACTAAAGATTGGGGTATGTTGAAGTCATGAAATTTTGCAAAACTAAATAGTTTATCTGTCATAAGCGATATATTGGTAAGTTCAGGGCTAATTTTTTAAAGAAAGTTGCAAATTAATTTTATGCTAATATAACTTCAAAAAGCTCTCACAAAAAAGAAAAAAAATTGCTGATAAATTTTAGTTTTACTCATAAAAATCAGAAATAGTTTCTGTTTTTTTAACTATATATAACCCTCTCAGAGCCTTTTCGGACTGTCTGTGCCAAAATGATGGAGCCCTTTTCACAAGCCCTGCACTAACTTTGTAAAAAATGTATAAAAATATACTAATTATTTTACAAAAATAAAACTACATATATTCTTGTAGGAACTGAATGAACTAATGTTATCTTTATAAATCAAACTGAAATCTCAACATTTATGCTATAAGATATCCTGATTTGCATAATTTATGCATGCACATTTTTTTTTAACATTTAGAAATAAATGTCTTACAGAATTTTGTTACATTTTATGATTTTTGAAGCCTATTTAAGAGATTTGAATGAGATTCAATGAGAAAAACTGCATTAAATATTCGGGGTTTTTATGCCTTTTGGCATATTTCATAGTAACATATTTTTTAGGCATTTATAGGGGTCACTAGGTATAAACAAAAATTGACATAAAATGTCAGAGCATCACAAAATATCAATGGAAGCCGCCATGAAAATGGCAGGATGAGCAAGAAATTCAAGACACAATCTGACTACCTTGTACAAAGACTAGCCAGCCATCTCTGGGCTTTTATTATTTGGCAGATAGATCAGTCTTTCATCTTTTTCACCATAACACTCTGGGCCACATTGGCCCTGGTCCAACTGCCTCAAGAGGGTTATGGATAATTTGTCTGTGTGCTTGTCTCGTGATTCCCTAAAAAGATTTTCTCTAAAAGTTTTGATATTCAATTTTAGACTGCCATGTTTGTGAAAGTGACAATATAACTATATATCTGACAAAACAATAAACTCAATAAGCTGAGCCGTTTAGTGACTGAAACTTGAAAAGAATTGCAAAATGCATTTAAAACACTACAATAAAACATCCAAATTTACCTATTTAAATTAAAAAGATATCAATGACTAAATAAAGATAAAAATTTGAAGGGGATATCCTAGCGAGTAAAGCTTTAAGTAAAATGCTAACACTTCAAATGGCACAAATAGGAGGCTGAAACTCATCACAGCCTTGCAGAAATGAGATGTGGGAGTAATTAGTAATAGTAATTTTAATTAAAAATCAATATTTTAAATAACATGACTCTTGCATGCTTAAAAGACTACACACTTTTTTTAGATGAAAAAAAAACCAACAAAACAATAATTCACAACCTATGATAAAAATCTCCCAATATCATCCACTCATCCTTAACGTGATTCAAAATTTAAACTGATACACAGAAGCTACAATTCATAAAATTATGTTTCAAAGCACAACAGTAAAACATCTTGGCAACCTTAGTATAAGAGAGCATTTGTATTTAATAAATAAGATTTTTTGGCTCTCTTATAAACCATGGTTAGGTACCACAATAAATAGGGTGGTTATAATAGTGGAAAAAATGTACCAAAATGTAATCAAATCAAAATCATGAGTATCTTTGGTTTTGATACAAAAATATTAATTAATGTTACTAGTATAAGTTAAAATTTAAGTTGAGCTAACTACACTTACAATTTCTTCCAAATTAATAGATAAAAACGTGTAAATGCAACACTTATTCATTAATAATTATTCATTATCTACTTGACAGCTACTTCAAACAGTAGAAGAAATAATTACCCTGCAAGCAGCATAAATATGTAATTTTTAAACATTTTCCTTAGTTCAATACTCAAGTATGTAGAGTTGTGTCTTAAGTTAAAGTAACCTTAAAAAGATGTGTATTTTGTTGAACTAACCTTAAAAAGATCAGACTTCAGATGAACTAACTGCCAATGAATTATTCTTTTTTTTTTTTTAAATTAACAGTTTTAATAATTTAATCACATTTGGAAGGCATACCAGTTGTATAATAAAATTATTTTAAATCTCAAAAGTTCAATCAATGTACTTTAGATTCTTTAATCTAATTTTCAATTAGAAATATCACATACTTTGTGAGAGACCCTGCCTCCTAATTTGATAAGTAATATTTTTTTTAAAAAATCAAAAAAAAAAAAAAACATACTTTACAAAATATTTCAGAAATTTCAATACCAGCTGAATAAATATAAGTTAACCCCAGATAATATTAAAATTCAGTTGTATAATAAAATTATTTTAAATCTCAAAAGTTCAATCAATGTACTTTAGATTCTTTAATCTAATTTTCAATTAGAAATATCACATACTTTGTGAGAGACCCTTCCTCCTAATTTGATAAGTAATATTTTTTTTAAAAAATCAAAAAAAAAAAAAAAACATGCTTTACAAAATATTTCAGAAATTTCAATACCAGCTGAATAAATATAAGTTAACCCCAGCTAATATTAAAATGCATATGAGGTGCCCAAAGATAAGTACAGACATGTAAATTTGAGTTCAATTTAACAAGCAATAATGTTGATGTCAGAGTGAGGCAACAGCATGGCAGAAAACTATTTGAATATTTACAAAGGTGGATTATTTACAATTCAAAGAATGTGGATCTAACATAATAAATATATGCCGTTTGTTTCTTCTATATACATTTATACAAAAATGGAGAAATCATGCCTTTTGTTGATTTAAAAAAAAAAAAAGAACAAAAGTTTAAGTACTTTTAAGGACTTTTCAATTTGACTTATTATTATGCTTATCAGGTTTGGGATTGTATGATTTAGGTCTCAAAGTGGAATGATAAATACACCTGCTAAATTTATACATAGCCTTAAGCCAAGGACTAAAACAACTGATTTTGAAAAGTCTTCCCTTAGAAGTTATAAGTTAAGTTTTAAGGCTATGAAAGTTCACTGGTCTATCTATCAAATGAGAGTGATTATACTTCAGAAAGCACTATCAAGATCATTAGTTTAAATGGAAAAAAATTATGTTCACAACATGCCTAACAGTCAGCAGTCTTTTCATACTCTTAAATTCCTCATCTTTTTTAGTCCACCACTAAATATGGCACTTTTTTACATTTAAGTAATAAATAGAAACAGAATTAAGCTATCACAATTATGATGCTTTTAATGCTGACATTTCAGTGCATATTTTTTAAAGTAAAAGAGTGATGTAATTTAAAACAACTGCTTACGACAGATAAACTTTTAACTACTGTTAATATTAATATCATTATTTTTAAATGCACCATATTTATCACCAATTAATTATTATTTTTTTTTAAAGATTAGCAGTCAATTTTTAGAATATAACTCAGTCATTATTGATAAAAGATTCACTAAATTTATGATTTGTGTACTAAATTTTTTTATTTACTCTTCATTAAGTTTAGCAATGAGACTGAATGTAGGACTATCAAGATTTTAAAAAATAGAGACTATAAATATTTTAACAAACCCTGTACTTAAACAGTACCAAATAAATAATCTGGAGCAATTGACTGGGTTCTGTAAGTTATTTTAACTGTTGTTTGCATAAGAGAGCTTTTCTTTAGATTGGACTTTAGCTCTCCACTAAATAAATCAACAACATTCCCATTTCAACACATATTTGAATAAAGCAGAAATTAAGAATATTAGTTGTTTAATATGCTTTGCACAGCTGCATCTAAATCTGCATCATGGCTTGGTGGGATGGCTGGTGATGAAGAATGAAACATATTGTGGTGAATAGAAGATGATGTTGATGAAGGTGGTCGATGGGCTGATGAAGACCAGCTGGTTTGCGAGTCTTCATTATCGTCATCATTAAGTACGCTGTCAATGGCTGATCTGACCGAGTCATTAATCATACTGCTTTGTGGATCTTTGTCAATTTCAAATGATGAAACGAGTCTGGATCCAACTCCATCATCCTCTTCATCTGATGAATTGAACATGGCATCAGTTTGCAATAGGCTTTTGTTCGGTGTGGTAAATATTGAAGTTGTTGGCAACCCACGGTGAGCTGCTTCTTTCTCAATGTTTGAAACAGGACTTCCTGGCAATAACTGTTTTCTCTGAGATGGTGAAATTCGGGAAGACCGGTGGAATGTAACCGGAGCATTACTAGGATTTGGATTGAATGAAAACTGGGAATGACCAACTCCCTTGCTTTCCCTATTATTAAAGTTGTCATCACTATCACTGAGATCATTAGCAAGACCAGAGTCTGCAGTTGGAAGTGATAGATTGGAACTGAAAACATCATCAGAGATGACAGATAAATTGCGAGATAATTGCCTTGGTGTCTTTCTCACATTTTTTATATTTTCACCGGTGGCAGCTATTTCTAAATATTCAAATACATTACGTCTATTGAGACTGGTGGTATCATGTTTAAATTGGTTAATAGTCACTGGCTCTCCGGGCTCTTCTGTTACCATAAAGGCATCAGAATTCGTATGTATTTCATGTTCCAACTTTGACACTTCAGTACCAAAAGAAACATGGTACCTGCTTTTAGAGCGCACTTTCTCTTCATCACCATCCTCGAATTCATCTTCACTACCACTTTGTTCTACATCTTCATCCCTTTCATCTTCATCTTCCTCTTCTCCCTCATCATCATCTTCCTCATCACAGCTCCTTTCTTGATCATCATAATCTTCATAAGAAGAATGATCTTGAGCTTTAGCTGTCTGTGAATTTGAAGAGCTACACTCACTGCCTGCTTCAAAAGAAGTTTGTCTTGAGGTGACAGAAACTGATGAAGCTCTACGTCGAACTATAACAGGCTGATTACTAGTAACTGCTGACTGAGAATCAAATTCATATTCACTATCACTTTTTTCTAAATTCACAACAGGTTTTAGATCCTGGGGTAGCTCATTCTGGTTCCCCAAAGAATTTTTCACAATAAAATTATCTGTTGTTCGTCTTTTAAAAACAAGTTTCAGAGTGCCTGAGCTTTTGTCAGGTAGCTTTCTTTTCAGACTAGATGGGGAGGAATATGGGGAATCAGATTTTTCAGATTTGATTTCTGATTCAGAAAATTCAAATTTGACATCTCTAACTTCTTCCTTGAGCTCCTTTTTAACATTTGGAACTGGTCCATTATTCTCAAGTTCTGTATGCCTAGTTACTGAATGAGGAGTAGTAGTTAACCCTGTTGAGCTCGATGATGAGATATGTAGTCCAGGATTGAGAGATTCAAATGAAGCTTTTTTGTAAGAATAAAAGAAAAATGAAAAAGAATTAGCATATAGCAACCAGCTATAAAAATATGCAAAAATTAACACATCCACAGTAATTATCTGCAAATATTAAAAAGTATCTATGATCACAATGATATGACTAATCTTTTTACTTCTGTTAACCACAAAGCATGTGATTTAGCCATCAAGTAAAAGATAAATCTATATTCCATAGAGGTTAGTGCAATTTTTTGTTACAAAAATGGTTGTGCGCCACAGTTGAAAAACATAGTTTGCAAGTGGTCCATAAAGGCTGGACACCAGTGATGTAAATAAAAGATACCAAGCTTTCAAGTTATGGAAATGACCCCGAAATATTTGGATAAATAAACAATTTGATATAATATTATGATTTAATAAAGGTGATAACTTATTTAGAAATATTATGGTGGAGACTTTAATCAAGGAACAGAGGGTCACGGCAAACTTTACAGAAAGACACCAAAAATTATAAAAAATGAATTGGAAAAAAAAAATTAGCTCAGAGGTAGAATTTTCTGTTTCTTGGTCCGCAAACAATCAAAACTGATAGTAAACTAAGAATTGAACTAAGATTAAAGTTTGTTTTGGAAAAATTATATTTACCAGGACAATTTTTGGCCTTTTCTTTTTCACTGTCGATTAATTCTCGTAATTGCTCATTGAAACAAAGCAAATTTTGAAGATAGTCTGGACGTTTTTCAGGACACTGAAAAAAGGTAATTTTAAGAATAAGAGAAAGCTGTAGAGCTGTTAAATGAAGCAATTTAATTTTTCAGGCACTTTGACTCTGTGCTTTCCTGCTGATTACATTATTTGAATATAAATACAAACATGCACACAACTGAATACAACTAGTCTAATGGATAAGAACAATAAAGAAGCAACTCACCATATCATTAAATAGTTTCATTTTGTTGTATCTTCGCATATAGCACCTTTTCTTTTTGACTAAATACTCACATAATTTAGAGTATCTAGTGTCCCCTGTAAAAAAAAAAGTTTATTAAAAAAAAAAAAACCAAAAAGTAATTAGCATTTGTTATAATTAATATTAAATAATCAAATAAATAACTATATGTTAATTATTTAGTATAGGCCCTACACCAAAGCTTTAATCTTATAAGTTAAAATTATGGTTATTTACATGGTGTTCAGTTTATTTATATATAGTAACATCACTGCCCCACTTCCACTTTTGCACTTCCTTAAAATTTCAATATTATTCAAGGTTATTTAGTGAGGTTTTCCAGGTATTTCTAATTGAAACTTATTATTTTTGTTGTAAGGCTATAACAAAAAAATGTGTCCTTTAACTAATCAGCACTTTCCGCTATCAAAAAGGTTTTTGATCAAGTCCTAGTCAAAATTAGGCTGAGCGACCATACCATATTGAAGGTTACCTAGACGCGCATAAGTGAAGTATGAAATGACTTAACTGGTTAACTACCATGAGCCGGTGGGCGTTTCTTCCGTTATGGCCACAAGCCACTGGCAGCGCCAATGTTTGTATCGTATTAAACCAAGTCAAATTTTTATATTATTCCGTTCCCGTTTTGCACCAAGATTTTAATTTAAAAAATAGTATTCCGTTCATGTTTTGCTCCGAGATTTTAATTTACCGACAGGATGTTTATAATCGAACCGCATGCCATTGGCAGAATGTTTTAAAAAACGAGCTGTTAATTCATTTTGTTTTAATTTCCAAGCTAGTTTTAAAATTGTACTACTTGTTTACCGTGGCAACAAGTGACAGGGTTACTAAAGGCATACAAGTGATTGGAAGTAGGTACTTTGGTAAAACAAGGGAAATTACAGCCTTTAAATATTTATAAAACTTACATGTTCTCATTTCTTTTGTCCCCTCTTCAGGTTTGTGATCTTGTAGAGTATGGTAGCGCACTAATCTCCTCATTGCATCAGATAAACTTTTAAAAGGTGTGCTTACATCTGGACTCAGAGCTAGAGTCCGATCTCTTAACAGCTGTTGCTCTGCACTGGATACACAGTAAAGATTTTTAACATAAATTCACATTTTAAGTGTCAAGCAAATACTTGATAAAATGAATACACCACTCCCAAAATTTTAAAAATAATTTTGATAAAAACTTACAGACATCGCCCCATTTGGGGATATACAAATTGTTGAGCTGGTGTGGGCATCTGAATTTCAGGAACCACACGTATTTGTTGTTGAATCTGGGGTAATTGAGATGATGACTGCTGTTGTACAGTTGTCTGCTGTTTCCTATATTGCATCGGTTCTTCTTTATGCAAAACTTGAAAAGTACTTTGTTGACATTGATTTTCTTCTGATTTGTCCATGAGTTCCTAAAAGATTGAATATAAAATCAATTAGTCTTTGCTATCAGCACCCAAGCCATTATTTTTTGTAAGCACTGCACATAAAATAATAATTTTGTTTCTATTTTATTACAAACAAACCTGTACTGTTGTAGGCAGTGAGGAAACTCCAGACCCTGGTATTGGAGATGTATGATCATTCACATTAGTGGGTTGAGACTGTGGGCTTGTTTTCATAATAATGTGAATTTGCTGTGTTTGTTGCTGTTGAACTTGATGCTGCAGCTGCTGTTGTTGCATTTGCTGCTGTTGCAGTTGCTGTTGCTGCTGTTGTAATTGCTGTTGCTGGAGTTGTTGAAGTTGCTGTTGTTTCTGCTGTTGTTGATATTTCTGCTGTTGCACCAGCTGCTTCTGCTGAACTTGCTGAGAACGTCTGATGATATTTTGTTGGTGTAACAAAAAATTATTTTGATCTTCCATACTCATGCAGGACAAATGTTCCTCAAGTCTTGCTTTTTGTAAAGGAGTAAGACTCAACATCAGTGTAGAGTTGGCAATCTGATGAAAATAAATATGGAATACATCAATATAAAATTAGCCATAAAAAATAATCAGCCTGAAGCCGTAAAGAGCCAATACATTAAAACTGTTGTCAGTTAGATTACAAAGCTAAATTCCCTAAAGGAAATTTCTTTTATTATTTTAACTTTGGCACGTTCACTAAGGTATATAAGGAATCAATAGATCTAATCATGTGAATAACTTTGTTTACCTGAATAGGTGTCATGACTTTTACATTGTTAGGATCTTTTTCTTTGGAAGTCTATCAAAGTAAAAAAATTACAGATTGTGAAAAAGTTTTAAATACAACACATTAAACAAGAAAAATTATAATCAACAACAGAGGTTATCCTGTTTTCCACACTTTGAGATGAAAGGTGATATCAAGGTTTCAAAAACAATGCTTTACTAAAAATAAGAGTTGAGAAAAATTCCTTGCACTTAATTATACAAAATGATTAAATAAATAGAAAGTAAAAATTTATTGTCATTGAGATTAAAGTAAAGGTGCACTTGGGAAATTCAATATTTTAGCAGAGCTGTTGACCCTCAAACTCCAAAAATTGTACAATATTATCACAAAATTGTACAATACAGTATCTTAATATTAAATAAATAAACATGCAGTATATATAACATAAATTCTCGCATCGCACTTGTAACGGGATCGAATTCAGCTTGCCTCAAAATAAGGGACTGAAGGTAAAAAGTAGATGACTGTCTATATTGCTATCTGCTGTCACTTTGTTTTGCAGAAGTGTATCTACTGTAGATATCAATTAATATTTAGGTGAATGTGAAGATCATGTTATCCCAGACTGTCACTGATAAAAATAAATTTTCTGGTGAAATTTAATGTGGTTCAAACTTAAAGTCAGATCAAAAGCTGTGAAGTGGAGAGGGGTGTATTTAAAAATCATACAGCTATTTTGCAGGTTCTAAAATTAAATTTCAAAGGACCCCTCAGATCCTGTAAAATATGTCGAAATCTATTATTATATTAGGGTTGGTTTGTAAATTATGTCACAAATTACGTGTTAGCGTATTTGTGACAGGGGGAAGGGGAAAAATTTGTTACGTCACAAAAAATCTATTTAAAAAAATCTATTTTCTAATTTAAAATTTTTTAAATTCAATTAATTTTAAAAACTTTAATTTGAGGTCGAATATGCCTCATGTATATTAGGTACTGTGAAACTTAACAACTGTTGTGGCCATTTTACATTCGGCTCAGGGATGACTTTATGTTTTGCGTTTTACGGCACAGATTTTTAACAATACAACATCTTAGTCAATTATGGGAAAATGTTAAAGAATAAAATAAAAGTTAAGTTAAGAACATTTTATGTATGCTTTGGGGGCAATTTATATATGGGTTGCTGCGGCTTCTTCACAGGGGTGTTACTAAATATTACAAAACTTTCATAATTTTATTTCCACTTTTTAACCAATGTGACATCTTTCGTTAGTAGTGCAAACAGTAACCCACTTGAGTAACTAATGTTTGCAGTTAGTAGATGGTGGTTAGTGACCTACATACGTGTTATATTTATTTTTTACCCAACCCTTTATTTTATTTAGTTTATGTATTTGCTATTTTGAAGTTCACTTGTTTGAATTTAACACAGAACCTGAATTTATCATAGGTGCCAGGAAACGCATATTTTAGAACCACTGGCGCAGGCCCCCAAAAAATATATGTCACAAACATTATGACATTTTTACAGCATTCAAGATAATCAGATATAAATATCCTATTTTATAGCCAGCCCCCCCCCCCTCCTATTACGAAAATGCGGCGGTGTTAATTAGTATACAATTAAATATTTGGAAACCAATCCCCACCCAAACCTTACACAAAATCTAAATCAACACCACTCCATTCCCCTCTCAGGACAAACGTAATATAATTATAGATGGTGCCCTCCCAATCGTATTTCACGATCCATCACTGAGGAATGCAAATGCAAGTTACCACTAACAACCGAAAATGTACTTGAAAATTATTATTATTTTTTTTAATTGGAAAAGCTACCGGAATGTATATATTTTCAACCTGCAGACCTGTTTACCCTTAAACTCCTAAAATCGTACAATATCGTCTCAAAATCGTACAATACATTATCTTAATAGTAAATACATAAATATACAGTATATATAATATATAATGTATACATCATCTACTGGTATAGCGTGTTCAGTGGAATCCAGTTCAGAGGTTTGTTAAAAAATGGAACTGTAAGGTAATCAGTATTCGAATGACGTTAACTGCAAACTGCGGTCACTTCATTTTGAAGACCTGCATCTGCTATAGATACCTCCATGTTTGTTACCTCCATAAACGATATATTTATTTTTATCCCACCCTTTATTTTATTTGTGTATTCCCTATTTCGAAGTGTACTTGTAAGAATTTCATCCAGGAAACCCTGGCGAAAACCTAATATGACATATGCGCCGGGAAACAAAATTATAAGAACCACTGGCGTAGCCCAACGAAATATGCGTCACACGCGCGCTGAACACTCATGACTAAACACAACTGTAACTTCTCTACTACTGCTAACGAGTTTATTGGTGAAAATACATCTTGACAACATCACCGCAATAATTCCTACAAAACATCGGGTGGTATTTTACAGCATTCGAGATATAAATAGAATGCTATTTTTGGACTTTCAGAGTTAGGAGATGAATATTGTAGACTTTTTAAATAACGTACGTTCTTTCTGCCGAGGAACAGCCCCCCCCCCCAACCTGTCATTACGGAAATGTCGCGGTGTTGATTGTATAGATTTAAGTATTTAGACCCACGCCAAACCCAAAATTTCCTAAATCAACACCACTCCTTTTGTCCCTGATAGATTGTTCATGAAAAGTCCGACTTGCAGATTGTGTAATTGTGCAGTGCGCGCATGATGGACCATTCGGCAAAGAACGCAACCCAGTCAATTTAGTCTGATATTCAAGCAAGACTATCTGCTGATAAACTTTCTTTTTCTGTAGTTGAATCGGATGTTTATCGGTAGAAAGAGAAGTTTCTTCTTCATCGCCCATTCCGCGAGCCTTTCTTTTTGTCGAGGTCATATCGTAAAATACTAAGTGAGGTCAACTACGGAACCGAAAACAAGAATGATTGCCGATTCCATTAATGATAATGGTAACATTAAAATCACGCAATGTGCACATAGGTCAATGCAGCCAAATTCTAGCGCCAGAGCTGTTTGGACAGCCCATATATAACATTTCAAATAAAAATGAAAAAGTTAACAATGATTCCTAGCTCGCCCCCAGCTGCACGCCTTGCCAACTTAAAGGGCCATCCAAAGATGACTTACTCGCTGAGGATGCGTATGAGTTTTGATTGGGTTGGAGGGGGGGGGGCACCAGAATGCACCTACATGTAGGCATAAATTCTACAATAATTATCCTGATTCCTGACAGTCTCTTATAGAAAATCTGAAATCCACGAATTCTAATTAGGTCTATTATTATTATTATTAAGGCTATACAAATACCACAATGCTTCGCATTTATCGTATACCGTATACTAATGCTTTGTGTTTTCATAAAGAGGTCGCTGTAGTAGTCATATTTAACACGACATAGTGACAACACACTAGTCCACTAACACGTATTTCCGTGCTGGTGACGAACCCACCTTCCCCCACCCTCATTAATAGGAAAAACATAGTGCCCTCGCCTATCCAATATGCCCCTGAGTTTTTACGTTCACATACTAAAGAGCAGTGGTCAGCATACTCATTGGTCAAAAGAGCCCAAATCAGCAGCAGGACCATTAAACAAATTTTGCGAGCCAAATTTATTTTCAAGAACCTGTCAAGGACCATGTTTTTCGGAGTAAAAACCGCTTTGTAGTTGACTGGCCGAGCCGCAGTCTGGACGAGCCGCGGCTTGCCGACCACTGCTATAGTATCAGAGACTAGTAACTACCACAAGCTGTAAACAAAAATGGGGGGGGGG